AATATAGGGATTTTGATTTTTTTTTCTTGCACTGTTTAACAACTCGTTTTATTTAAAAATTTTGTATAAATATAAAAAACGAAAAGTTGTGTTTGAAGTACTTTGGATAATAAAGTAAGTCACAAATAAAATAAATAATAATTCTAAATTTTTTTAATAAGACGAATGGTTAAATAGTGTAAGAAAAAGTCAAAATCCCTTCTATTATGGGACGGAGGGAGTAGTATTCTCAATCCACACATGACATATATCAGCCGTTTTTTTGACATTTTGGTCCTTTTCAAAAACTTATTTCGAAACTAGTCCCTGCCAAAAACTTCAATCAAAAATAGGCCGTCGGCTCAGCGCCAGGGTCCTTGGCGCTGAGGTACTACAGAATAGCGCCACAACGATTGGCACTGACAGTCTACCAGCGTGGCGACCGAGTCGTTCCACCCGCCGACATGGCGCTAAGATGCCGAGGCAAAGCTCCATGTACATTGGTGCTGAGATCCCTGCCACTTCAGCGGGGGATCGGCTCGGCCGCCACACTGGCACGGGGTCAGCGCCAATGTACCTAGCGCTGCTATGCATAACTTCAGCGCCAATGTGAGTGGCAATGAGCCGACGGCCTATTTTTGGTTGAAGTTTTTGGCAGGGGCTAGTTTCGAAATAAGTTTTTTAAAAGGGCCAATTTGTCAAAAAAAAGGGATATATCATGGGGTGTTTAGGATCTAGAGGTGTAAAGTTTGGGCGTATCACATCGGGTATTATATAGGGTGTCGCATGAGGTGTTCGGGCACTAATAAAAAAACTAATTACAGAATCCGTCAATAAACCGCAAGACGAATTTATTAAGCCTAATTAATCCATCATTAGCAAATGTACTAGTAGCACCACATTATCAAATCATGGAGCAATTAGGATTAAAAGATTCGTCTCGCAAATTAGTCGCAATCTGTGCAAGTAGTTATTTTTTAGCCTATATTTAATACTTCACGCAGGTGTTCAAACGTTCGATGTGAAAAGATGTAAAATTTTTGTGTGGGGACTAATCAAGGCCTTAATCTATCTGGTTATGTGTGAAAAATATCAAAACCATCAACACTTCACTAAAACACATGCTTCTTTTGTTTGGTTTTTTATATTTTGGTTCTTTCTAGAACTTATTTTATAAATAGACCCTTTCAAAAGTTTATTCCAGGAATAGACCCTTTTGTTGGCACTAGTGACCATGGCACCGAGGTTCAATGTCTCGGCGTCAACGACATAGGCACCGACACCTGCACCACCCTAGCAGTTGACTGGTGCCAATGACCTATTTCTAAAATATTCTTTTGGGATAGGGTCAACATCAAAATGCAAATTTTTTTTCTTGCCAATAGGTTCTCACCATTGAAGACAACAGAATTAAGGGACTATTTGTATGAAAAAAATATTTACATTCTAACCATTTTTGGTAAACTTTTCTATAAATAGGTCCTCGGCGGTTGTCTCTTTGGCATCAACCCCCTTAGGGGGCGGGGGCGGGGGGGGGGGGGGAGGGTTGAGGGCGCTAGCACCAGTGTTTTTGGAACCGAGACATGGAACCTCGGCGATGTCAAAACCTTGTTGCCGAACAAAGAGTCCATTCTTAGAATAAATTTTCTACAAGTCTATTTACAAAATAAGTTTTTAAAAATGGGCAAAATGTAAAATATCCAGCTTTTTTCGTGCCATGGACAAAATTCCATCGATCTCATTCTCCCTTCAGTTCCATAATTTTTTTAATGTCTCGAAGAACGAAAATATATTTTTGACTATGATTTTTCTATTATAATATGTAAAAAAAATAAGTGATTACTTAATTTTATTAAATTATTTTTTAAGATTAATCCATACCTCGTGTGTTATAGTAAACCAAATATTGTAAAAGCCATTGATAGTTATAGTTTAAATTGTTTGACAACCATCTCCAAAACATCCCCAAACTAGAGGGAGTAATAAGTCGCATTACTTCTTCCTAGCTTTGTAGTACTAGGATACATAACAGTTGACTACTTCTCCCAGCGTCTTGGGAATCTCTACAAGTCCCGGACTACAAAATGTGTTTTTCTAGTGTCTATGCCTGGTTTCCCTTTCAAAACCACGGTATCATTCTCCTTCAGCTTCCTGATGCTCCCATAGAAAGTAGTGGTCTCCTTACAAACATGATATAATATTAATCTATCAGGTTATGTGTGAAAAATTATCAAAACCATCACCACTTCACTAGAAAGACATGCTTCTTTTGTCTGGTTTTTTATATTTGTGTTCTTTTTAAAACTTATTTTATAAATAGACCCTAGAAAAAAAATTATTCAAGGGCTAGACCCTTTTTCTTGGCACCAGTGGCCATCAGCCCATCGCTACTAAACAAAATCATTTTTCATAGCACCAGCATTTTATTTTTGCTTGCATATTTAATGAACACCCGCTTATGAAGATATTTGAGAGAAATTCTGGTCACCAACCGCCAGTAAAAATCAAGTTTTGCTGGCTGTCACTTAAGAAACCCACATACAAAAATATAGGTATTTTTGCAAGCAGGTTTCTTAAGTGAAAACTAGCAAAAATCGGGTAGTAAAGAGCACCGCCAGTGAAAAACATCATTGCACAATAAAACAAATCACCACCTAGTGCTCCTTATCCACCCACAGCTCCTCCTTCTTCTCTGGTTCCTCCTCCTCCCTCTAGATCCACCCACCACACCGTAGCACCCTCTCCTCCTCCCTTCCCACCGGTGGCGCCGGCGGCTCCGGCGGGTGGGGAGCTACAAAGAGGCGGATCCAGCGGCCACCTACCTCTACAATCGCATCTCTCTCACCACTCCATACCTCTCCCATCTCCCTTCCTCTCCCTCAAACTCTCGTCTCCCTTCCTCTCCCTCAATCGTGGGTGGTGGCAGCGGCAAGGGGAGCTGCGGCGGCGAAGCTCGAGGCGTGGCCGCAGATCTGGCGGTGGCTCTGGGCACAAGCGGCAGCTTGGGCCGCGGGCGACTGGGAGGGGATGGATCCGGCCACCGCCGATGAAGAAGAGGCCCAGTTGCGATGGAGGAGGTGGATCTGGTAGCGGCGAGGGGCGTGGTGGGCGAATCAGTGGCCGGGAAGGACGTGGGCGTTGGATCCACGGCCTGGAGGGGCGCGGGCAGCAGGCAGCGAAGGAGAAGGGCAGTTGCGGTGGAGGAGGCGTATCTGGTGGCGGATTTTCAATTCTTTTTTGCTCCAGGAATTGTTTTCGCTGGCAGGTATCTTAGCATTGTCGCCAGTGAAATCCTATTTTCAACTGTGGTCGTCTTAGCTTGGCTGAAAATGCTTTTTTAGTAGTGTGGTGCTGAGGTCCAATGTCTTGGCACCAACGACACAGACTCAAACACCAGCACCACCCTAGAAGCCGAGATGTAGAGGGGTCGACGCCAAAACGGCTGGTGCCGATGACCTATTTTGGAACCAAGTAAGTAATAAGGAAAAAAAGAAGGCCCTACTGGTAAGTATATAGTTGAGTTTATGGCCTTGTTTAGTTCCCTAAACAAAAACTTTCACCCATCACATCAAATGTTTGAACACATACATAGAGTATTAAATATGGACGAAAAAAAACTAACTACACAGTTTGCGTGTAAATTGCGAGACGAATCTTTTAAGTCTAATTGCGCCATGATTTGATAATGTGGTGCTACAGTAAACATTTGCTAATGGCGGATTAATTAGGCTTAATAAATTCGTCTCGCAGTCTTCTAGTGGAATCTATAATTTATTTTGTTATTAGACTACGTTAAATACTTAAAATGTATGTCCGTATATCCGATGTGACAACCAAACCCAAAATTTTCCCTAACTAAACAAGGCCTATATATCAGAAAACAAAAGTTCCTAGTACTCACCAATAAAAAGGATCTCACTTCGCCAAGCATATGTACTCCCTCCATCTTAAAAAATAGCTAACCTTGTATTAGGATGAGAATTATCCTAATACAACAAATCTGGACATATGTTAGTTTTTTTAAGGATAGAGAGGGAGTAGGAAACACAGACTAATGCAAGGATGTGTTCTATCGTAGTACGAGGTTGGCCTTTTTTTTTTACGAAGGGAGTAGGAAACACATACTAATGCAACACAGTATTATAAAGGGCAGGTCGTACAACATTCTTTATAAATAACATTGACATTAGCATTCATGTATATCTAGCACTTGAATTTATATACTTGTACGATCAGTAGCTAGTACAAGTACTAGTAAATTGGCATGGCATTGCTGCGCATCAGTGTTCAGCTCCATCATCAACAGTTGATCTTTCCGCTATACGAACTGTGTACTCCAGTAGCCTTTGCTGTACGTAAGTCGATCGTATGTAGTACTCGGTACTAGTATTTAATTATTTCCCCGGTTTTTAAATATATGATTTCAATGATATTTTAGATTCCTTCAACTACTATGTATTCATTGTATTTAAAAAAATATGTAATTATTTTTATTTTGTTATGGTCTGATTTATCGTTAAAAATTATTTAAGCATGACATATAACTTTCTTCGTGTGTGTTAAATTTTCCAAATAAAACGAAATATAAACAAATCTCATCAAGGTAACGTCATCATGTATTTAAACAACCGAGGTACTCCCTCCGTCCCATAATATAAAGGATTTTGACTTTTTATTTACACTGTTTAACCATTCGTCTTATTCAAAAAATTTTAGAATTATTATTTATTTTATTTGTGACTTACTTTATTATCCAAAGCACTTTAAATATAACTTTTTATTTTTTATATTTGTATAAATTTTTTAAATAAGACGAGTGGTCAAACAGTACAAGTAAAAAGTCAAAATTCCTTATATTATAAGACGGAGGGAGTAGTATTATCCAAGCCCGTAATCAGCATCTAATGATGCCAAAATAACACCACCGCAGCAGCACACCGGCGTGCAGTGCAGGTTGCTGCCATGTCCAATAAAAGCTGGGTTTGCTCGTCAAACCGGCCAGGACCACGCCCATCCCTGCACCCTATGTCTCCCCTCCTCTCTTCCCATGCCCGGAGCGAGGCTACAGTAGCTAGCTGATGCTCTTCCCTGTGCTGTGGGGCCCACTCCCTGACACGGCCCCTTCCGTCGTCCCTGTACTAGAGAGCTCAGCTCATCCTTCAATTCGAGCCTTCCTCAACGCCGGTGTCTCGCGGAGCCGAGAGGCGCGAGAGCTCTCGATGAATTCGTCTCTTTCTCGCTATAAATACTGAAGGGCTACCTACTCTCGGTCGATCGTCGTCCCCACTGATCCACTCTCCTCTCTTCTCTTCAGACTTCTCTTCTCTTCTTCTCCCGTTTTGTCTGCCCCCCCTGCATTACGCCATAGCTGCCGGTGACATGGATCAGGTAAGCGTCAAGTTGCCACCATGCTGGCAGTAGTAGTAGGTGTGTTGGTCTCCTTGTTGGTTAATGGTTGCTATGGTTCGCATGAGCATGACTGGATCGTTGTGTTGCAGAAGGGGAGGAGGAGGCACGTCGTGCCGGCGTTCGGGGAGTGGAACTACTACTACCACCACCAGCAGTATGACGACGAAAACCACCACCAGGCGCCGCCGGAGGTGATGCGGTCGGCTCCCGCCGTCGCCGTGGCGGCGGCGGCGGCTGACGACGAGTGGTACGCGTACGGCGGGGGCGCGGCGGCGGAGGCGTGCAGCGACGTGTGGTTCAGGTACTCGCCGCCGCCGCGGAGGCCGACGCCCAAGAAGGCGAGGAGGCCGGAGGGGAGGGTGGCTCCCGAGAAGGCGGCGCCGTACGACGACGGCGGCGGCAAGGGGAGGCAGCAGCAACAGGCGGCGCGTGCTGCGAGGGCGTACCATTCCGGCGGGGTGGCGGTGGCGCGCACGCCGGCGAGGGGCGGCGCCACCTGCAGGGTCGTGAAGCGGCCGGTCGACGCCGACCTGTACCAGGTGCCCCCGCCGGAGTTCGTCTCCCGCCGGCCAAGACGGGTACGTAATCAGCTGCGTTTTCACAGCAGCAAAAATAATTAATATCAACTCTTTTTTTCCCTAATCAACTGCTTTTTCAACTAAAAGTACAACTGTTTTCTAATAAACGTACACTAATTGTTTTTTCTTGCAACCATTTTTCAGAAGAGGGCCATGAGTAGCTTGTGGATGGGTTGCTTGGGCCTCAACTGCGTTGCATGAGAATGCGATCGCCATGAACAAACCAAGCTAACTTTATGGACTAGTATTTGTGTGTGACTCTGTTTATCTCTCTCTCTCTACAGTAAGCTTGTAGGTGTAGCTAAGCTATAGCTAGGAGACAGTTTAAGTTGTAAGGGCAGATCTTGTCATAGTAGTTTGCTACTTCTACTACTATAAATCTTTTATAAAGTATGAGACCATTTTCTATATCTGTAGACCAATTTTTTGAGTTCTTGATCACTGGTGCACAAATTGCTGATGGGGAGTAGTAGCAAAATGCAACCAATTTTATTGGGAGTGTTGCCATCCGTTGTTTAGTGCATGTCGTTATCAAACAAACTCTTGCGATCTGAGCAAAGCTCTGGGCTCTACCGGCCGGACTTGGGCTCTGTTCGAAAGAGCAGGTTGGGAACGTTTGCCTCTGGCACGAAAAATGGAACGATCTATTAGCGCGTGATTAATTAAGTATTAGCTAATTTTTTTTTCAAAAATGAAACAATATGATTTTTTTAAACAACTTTCGTATAAAATTTTTTTTAAAAAAACGCACCAAAATAGTAGTTTGAAAAACGTGCGCGCGAAAATCGAGAAGGAGAGGTTGGGAACCATCACACACGAACTGAGCCTTGAATGTAGTGCTGCCACTATGTGTGACGTGCTTTAAATTTACATTACACTTTTGAGCGACGCATTACCATCATCCATGACAAGACTTTTCCTGAACGCCAGTGAACCTCGCAGCAGCAGCTGCTGCGTCGATCTGCGTTTCTCTCTGCGTTTCTTCAGAAAGGCTCTCAACTTGATGAAGATGAAGTGACAAGTGTGTGTGTCTGTGCCTGCGTGACAGCGATTTTACAGTGCCATTTTCTAATGCCTGACCTGAAATGAGTCAGCGAGTCGGACCGGCATCTGATTAGTTTAACGGTCTTGTTAATGTGTGTAGCTGAAAAAAATGCGTCAAAACAATCTTTGTCTTGATTAGCCTCCTCAGGCCGGGTTCAGGATGAAACCGTCCATGAATCCTGTATCCATTGTGTGATCGCCGACGTTTATATCATTGTGAACTTAAATTCTTCAAATGCAACATTTTGAACTTGCAGGGGGGCTGTATGAAAATAGAACCGGCACGAAGCAGAGCAAATGACTGTACTTGCTCCGAATACAGTACAAAATGGAAATGCTTCCAATATGGCGACACATGGCCCCCAAAGCTGTGGTTTTCTTTTCCCTGACAAGCTCCTTTTTACTCCTATCTAGGAGAGCGCCATTAGATTGGCAGAGTTTACTGTTTGACGTGTCGGAGGTACAGTTGATAAGAGATCACACTACTAAAAGAAGAAATAATGGGGACATTTAACTCTAGGCCATTAAGGTGTGGCAATTAATTATTTGCCACTCGCTGTCTATGACATATCGGTCCTCATGTGTCTATGACATATGGGTCCAGTGGCAAATCATTTATCACCATCCGTAAGAGTGGCAAATAATTAATTAATCCGAAATAGTGGCCGATTCATCCCAATGGAAATCACTAGTCAAGAAAACACCAGTGTTTGATCTGGCAAGCATGAACAAATACAAGCCATTTTTTTAGATATCACGTGACTACCAGCCGACCACGTAGGAAAAAATACACCTTAAAAAGTTTCTCTCCCAGTGTAAATTAGTTCTAGGGCTTGTTGCAACTTTTCAAGTCAGAGATTTCAGTCATCATACCTTTTCAATCTGTAAAACTGCACTGAACAGACAAAAGATAATAAGCAAATCTCTACTACTTAAAAAATAAGAGGTGATCCTATTGTCCGTAAAGAAATCCGGGCGAAAAAAACCGTGCGAAAAAAAAGTCCGATCCAAAAAAAGGGGCGAAAAAAAACAAATCTTTCCGATAAAAAAAGGGCAAAAACAGGGGAAAAAAATCGAAACGAATCCGACTCCATCGACGCGGTAAAGAAAAGGTGAAAAAAAAAATAAAAAAACTGAGCGATTCCAAAGAAAAAGGAATTATATGTGACATAGTAAAAAAAAGAATCCTATTATATGTGACACGGTTAAGAAAATGCGGCGCGGTAAAAAAAACAAATCGAATTGGATTCCATAGACGCGGTAAAAGAAAAATCGGGCAAAAAATAATGAATCTGTAAAAAAATAGATCCGATTCCAACCTGAAACGGAAAAAACAAAAAAAAAGGTTCTTTTCCTACCAAGAAAACAAAAAAAAAACATAGATCCAATTCCCGCAACAGAAAAAAAAAAGTCCGATTCCTATAAAGCAAAAAACAAAAAAAAATCCGTAAAAAATAAAAAAAATCCAAAAAACATCTAGAAATGTCCGACACTATAAGAAAGTGGTGAAAACAAACGATCGTAAAAAAAATGCACGAGAAAAAAATAAAAAGGGCGGAAAAAAGCGCGGCAAAAAAAAGTCTAATTTCTATTCATCGTTTTAGTAGTTCGCTATATCTCTTTTTTTTTCTCTAAACTAATCTAATCTAACTATTTAAAAAGAGAAGTTTCTACCTATATTAAAAAATAAAAATGCGCGAGAAAATAAAAACGGTTTAAAAAAACGCATGAGGAAAAAATGTCTGAAAAAGTGCAAAAGAAAACGCGCTAGAAAGTTTCGTAGTCCGAAAAAAACACGCAAGAAAAAATATTTCCATCGTCTTAAAAAAAAGCAGAAAAAAAAGCAAACGAGGAAAAAACTGTTAGAAAAAATTGCTAAATTGATGGACACTTGGTCGGATAGGATCCATCGATTTTTTTCATCTCATACACGGCTTTTGTTTCGTCATGTATTCTCTTGTATTGGAGACCCTGCACATCTTTGTAGGCAATTATCAGACTATTTTTGTGAAGTATAGATATTATTCTTGATAACATATTATATGGAAATAATATTAGAAAATAAATATATTTTAATTGTTATTTAGAGAAGAGTGCACAGTGACTATATTTTGTGTAGACTTGACCATACGAGGCAGTGTAAGATTTGATTTGTTGCAAGAATGAGATTAAAAGAATATTTTAGATTATCTGCATGTGGTCATATGAATAATCCAATTATTTTAGCTAAAGCAAAGATCGTAAGATTGTCATCATTGAGGTTGGACCATTTACATTTAAGATGTTGATTGTCATCGATATAGTTATGCATGAAAAATGTATATTATCATTACGTTTTTTCCCCTGTTACAACGCACGGGTATGTTTGCTAGTTTAAAATAAATACTCTTCCCTCACTCCACCCCGTCCGTTCCCCTCATTCATCCCGTCCGGCGGATGGGGCAGATTGTGATGCCATCACCATCACTACACTGGATCAGGTCAGCACTGACGGGCTCAAACCCTCAACTTTGACGGGTTCAGCTCCCGGTCAAAGATTAGTGGTCACTGATGACTTGAGTCACCTGTGACCGGTGAAGACCCGCCAGAAGTAAGAGCCACCTCAAACGGCCCCCAACTAAAACCCGTCACAGGTGAGAGTTACCTCTGACTGGTCCCAACCAAAACCCGTCACAGGTGAGAGTCACCTCAAATGGCCCAACTAATTGGGGCCGTCATTGGTGTGAAAAAAAGGGAAAAAAAAAAGAGAAACACCGTCCTCCTAGGTTACCATTACATTCATTTCGACCGATTGCATTTGGCATTCACAAATCAAAAAAATCGTCACAATTCTTCTTTGTTCCATCGCAGTTGTCCCAATCACAAAACAAAATCACAAGAATCTCAATCACCATAGGACTCAGAATCATCAATCACAGTAGCAATAATTAGAACAATATGAAGAACACAAGATAAAATACATGGGTGAAAGAGGACTTGCTGGCAGAGGGCGGAGGCGGAGGCGCGGCTGGAGGCGTCGCTGGCAGAGGCGGCGGAGGTGGAGACCGCTGCCGCCGTCGGGCCTCGGCCGCCTCCCCTCCTGCCATCGGCCGCCACCGCGCCACAGTTCCAGATCCGTCGTCCGCCACCGCGCCTCCCCTCGCCCCTGCCGGATCTGGCGGCCGGACCGCCGCCGCGCCTCCCCACCCGCCCCTGCCGAATCTGGCGGCCGGGCCGTCGCCGCCGCCCCCGCCGGCTCGGCGCCGCCACGCCTCCCCTCCCGCCCCTGCCGAATCTGGTGGCTGGGCCGCCGCCGCCGCCCCCGCCGGCTGGGCGCCGCGGCGCCTCCCCTCCCGCCTCTGCCGGATCTGGCGGCCGGACCGCCGCCGCCGCCGCCGCCCCCGCCGGCTCGGCGCCGCCGCGCCTCCCCTCCCGCCCCTGCCGGATCTGGCGGCTGGGCCGCGCCTCCCCTCCTGCCCCTGCCGGATCTGGCGGCCGGGCCGCCGCCGCCCTAGCCGGCCCGGCGCCGCCGCGCCTCCCCTCGCCACGGCACAGAGAAAGAGAGGAGAGATAGAGAGAAGAAGTGGAAGAGATAGAGGAGAAGTGGAGAAGAGGGAGCCAGCCGGCCTTATCTCCTCATGTGGGCCCCGCTGGGAGAGGAGACATATATATACATTGGCAGAAGTCATCTCAAACGGGCTGGGACTTAAAAGCCGTTTGAGGTGAGTAAACCTCACCTCTGACGGGCTGTCCGGCTGCGACCCGTCACAGGTAACTAGTCACCTGTGATGGGTTAGGACTTAAACCCGTTTGAGGTGAGGTAACCTCACCTGTGACGGGATCTATTTTTAACCCGTCACAGGTGACTAGTTACCTGTGACGGGTAACAGCCGGATGCCTCACCGATGACGGCATCCCGTATGACCCGTCAGAGGTGACGGTCATCAGTGACCATTTCGATTGCCCGTCACAGGTATCTCGTCAGAGATGTGAGGATCTGGTGTAGTGCATCTCCCTCCTTGTCTGCAACCTCTCCCCTCTCTCATGACGAGTCATTGCTTTTACTTATTATTGTTATCGTCTCACCGTATCAGTGTTGCGGCCGCTACACCCAATGATGGCTAATGACATCCATCACCTACCTTTGCCCCTTCCTCCTCTCCTGGTGAAGAGGATTGAGGTGGAGGAGGGCTAGCGAGCTCACTAACGGTGACATATATAATATCGAGGTGGTGGGCTAGCAAGCTTTCTCGACGCCACTACGGGCATCATTATCGACGGGACGGTGGTTGAGACTTGAGACTAGGGGAGGAGGTTGTTGTCGTCATCCCCTCGTCTTGTTCTCTTTTCCTTCATTAACTACCACCGTGTTCACTCTGGTTACAGGACAAGGAGGAGT